GAGCCCACGCGACATTTTCGGGTAGCAAAAAGTGCCCTTCTCAGTGTGGAAGGCAATTTTTGCCTCGTCCTCTCGTTTCATCTGTACCTGATTGTAGGCCTTGTACGCATCAAGGAAACATTTGAGCTGAAAACCTTCAAGCGATTCAACTTTCTGATCAATCTCCGGGAGAGGATAACAATCCTTTGGACATGCGTTGTTAAGGTCTGAGTAATCAATGCACATTCGCCATGAACCATTGGCTTTCTTTGCCATGACAGGATTTGCTATCCATGTTGGGAACATTACTTCCCTGAGTATGCCAGCATTCACCAGATCGACCACTTCTACGTTTATAGCCCTGTTCTGTTCTGCTGCCTGACCCCTATTCTTTTGTTTAACAGGATTGCTTCCATGCATGATATTAAGGCTGTGTTCCACAACCTGTCGATCAACATCTGTCAGATCTGTTGGTTTCTAGGCGAAAACGGTGGAATATTGCTTCAGGAGTGCTACCAGTCGTGCCATGGTCTCGTCTGATAAGTGAGCACCGATTCGCACGAGCTGTTCTGGATATTCCATGTTTATTTGGTGTTGCTCGGTTCAACATCCCTCCTTCGACTTCTTTGGTGCTCGCACAAGCTCGGGAGCGGCTATGATCTGGTGGCAATGTTGTGCCCTGGTGTGTGTGGCGAGGATCGTCGCTGATCCATGGTGTGTGCTAAATTTAACTATGCCATGGATCGTCGATGGTACGAGGTGTAGTAAGGAGATTGCCAACCGTCCGAGCAGAATATTGTGTTCTGCTGGATACCGGATCACAGAAAATTCGATTGTTCGTGTGATTCGGTCCCTCTCGTCGTGGCTGACCAACGTTAAGGGTAGCCAAATAGTGCCTAATGGCCACAATCTATGTGCGGTGAATCCTATCAATGGCCCACCGGTTGGGGGCCGTAGCTCCTCCTTCCATGCATCTGGTAGTTGCCTAAAACAATGCTCATAGAGTATATCGGAGCAACTACCATTGTCAATGTATATCCGATGGATTTTTGTGTTATGAATGAATCCAGATATGAGAAGTGGGTTTCGCGGATCCCAGTTCAATGGTCTGGGATCGCTGCTCGAGAAACTAATATTGAGTAGGTTTCTCGAGAGTACCTCTATCTCGTCCTCCGCTTGGTGAGGTGTGTTCCGCTTACGAGAGTTAGAGATAGTGATTACCTCTTTGCCATCATACGGAGGCTCCTGCAACAGATCGGGATGTGATATATGTTGGATTAGGTGTCTGAGCGCATAACTATAATTGGTATGTACTTGAATTGATAGTAACAATGTCCTTTTGGGTTGCCTTCAAACTTGACAATTGAATAGGATTACTGTTAGAGAGAGAAGAATGATTTATTAATTTATTACTTGGTTAATAAATTAATTAGAAATCAAAATATATGATTTATTAATGTATTATGGAAATAATATATTAATTAGAAATCATAATGTTTAATTAATATTTAATCAAAAATTGATTTGGAATTAATTTTGGGATTAAAGGAATTAACTGAAATTACAGGTACTAAAGGTGAAAATATTCAATAGTTGAGCATTGAACATTCTAGAACCTCCCTATGGTAAGGGGAACGAATTCTAGGGTGTTCCTAGGGTTTCCTTGGGCTCTAAGGGTGCCTTGGATGCCTTAGAAGGAAGTAAATGGATTAGGGTTATGTTGGATACAACTGTCTTATCCAATGACTTCCTAACACCTATATAAACCCTCATTAGGGTTGGATTTCGTCCATGCACTCCTAAGAAAGGCTTAGAGCCGAAATTTCTTCTTCCCTTCTCTCTCTCTCTCTATGTTATTCCTTGGTTACTTGGTTTGTTTGTGAGGCATTAGAGGTGTGACGCTTGTGGCGCTTGCTACCAAAGGTCTTTCAAGCAAGGTTTTTGGATTGTTATTACAATATAACAATCAAGGTATGTATTTTAATCTTTATTATCTGGATTTTGATTATAATACATAGAACCTAGGGTTTCTCCTTTTGTATTCAAGTTTGTATGTTCAACTAGTGAAAAACCTAGATCCTTAATTTAGGGTTGCATGAACACATAGGATTTGTAGTTATGCTCATAACCCATCAATATCACCGTCTGAGGCAGTGAACCATCCAACGACAGTTGCCAGAAACTGCTCTGGAGTACTGGCTCCGTAATCGGCGGGATCTGTGCTATTAGAACCTGGGTTGGGGCCTGTGTTCTATACTCGCAGTGATGGTTGTTGGTTACCGTCACCGGTGTTCGAAACAGGTCGTCTAATGCAGTCGTAGTTGTTGTTGGGTTTAGATCTCCCGTTTGTTGAGAGCCAATGTCGTTTATTGGTTGTATCACTCTGAGGATACGTCCGAATGACGCCAAATGTTGTGACATGATCTTCAGGGGATGGGATGTTGGTTGATGGATCGAACCTCGAAGTTTTTCTAAGAACACAACACAGAAGAACCGTTAAAGGATGACCGGGTGTTCTCCCGGGACGTCACTCCGACGATCAAGTTAGTTTTCTCAGAGAGAGAATTTATGGTAAATTCAGTGAGGGAGAAGATGGATCCCTTCCTTGAGACGGGAGAGATCCTTTTATACCTGTTACTATCGGATCGTGGGGACCTTGCCCAATGAGTGTGAGACGTGGCCTCCTCTAACTGGGAGAATTATGCCCACGTTAACTAACTGCCTGATGAAGTCAGTTCTGAGCGTCACCTAAGCTTTTTGTCACGTCCCGATTGGTCGTGAGTGAATGAGAAGATCACAGGGAATATTCTTTCCTCATGAAGGGAAACGAACTGCCACCCTGGTGCTGGATTACTTAGGCCAAGACCGAGCATTGACCAAGGTTCTGGCGAGATAACGTCTTGTTTATGCTTTCAGTTACATTTAACGTAGTTGTTCATGGTAACGTTAACAGCAACACTTCGCTTTAACACTTCTCAAAGACCTAAACGTATAAAACACTAAGTCTTAGTCTAGTTTCATAATCTTGGCGACTATTTAATGATAGTCTAGATTCCTCAATAATCTCAATTTCTACATCAAGATCTATGAAACAAGGAATAACAAGGTAGGATCATATTAGAGGTAAGGTATCTTTGGTATACAAAGTATACTGTTTGGAAATCCCACTTTAAACACCTCACTAAATCTAGCCTAGACTTCACTCTTGTAAGTAGATCAATTATTGTAATGACTTGGAATCACTGATAAATCTTAATTATAGGTTCATAATAATGACTATTACTATAATTACAAGTTACACTTAAAATAAATAAGCATAGCTTGACTTACAGAGTAATCTAACGAAAACCGGGAATTATGCGGGCAAAACTCTGACCCGGGAGCTTTTACTAGATAGTTACTACTAGTCGGGTACTTCAGGGGGTTGCAGGGCTTCGCCGACTACCAGAAAACTAAGGAGAACTGGGCTAAATGATGAAGAACTGACAAATAGAGGTTTTAGGGGGCAAGATATGAGCATCATATACGAAATGAAGCTAATTATAGGAATTTTTGAAAAGCACACCGCGCATAGAGAAGGTGCGCGTCGTGTATATGGTTGGAAGGGGTAACGTGTCGCTTTCTTATGGTACCACGTGTCGCGATTTGGGTGGTGTATTAGTGCGCGCCGCACATCTAGTCGGTGTGCGCGACTGCGTGTGAATTTTCCTGATTTCTTAAAAAAATCCATAACTTGCTCATATTAGCTCCGTTTTCGACAAATTTTGTATCCACGTGTAGCCATCAACGAGATCTACAACTTTCATTTAGACTATGTCGGCTAATTTTGAATTTATTTTTAAAGATAAATTTTTACAGGCTTAGATTGTTAAAGTTCATGTAAAAATCATAACCCTCTCATACGATATCTGTTTTTGACTGTTATATTTCAATTTTGAACTTGTTAAATTTTATGTTAGAATTTTGAACTTTTTTAATTTTATGTGAGAATTTGAAATATCTTCTAATCCCAAAATTATGGCAATGTTATAAATAAACTAACAATAATATTTAAAAAAAATAAAAAAATAAAAATTGAAATTAAACTATATTTTCATTAAGATTTAATAAACAAAATTCGTCTTAAAAGCACTTAAAAATTTTGAGATACAAGTGACACAAGAAAGCGAACATAAATAATGTATCTTATTTATAAAACAAATTACAACTGAAAATATTTTTTATACATCAAATTATACGCAAAGCTACACATGAAGCTAAATTATTTCAAGATTTTGTTTTTTTGAATACAATCTCAAAAAGCAATTTATGAAAGAAATCATGATTACCTAATGCAAAAAGACAATGAAAGTTTGGTGGTTGGACATGTGTCTTTGATAACTCAAGCCTTGAGTTGAAATATTAAATTTGAATATTATTTGATACGTTAATTATGGAATTGAACATGGTTTAGTAATTTCATTGAATTTGTTATGGTTAAGTATAATGAAATATGTGGAAAAAAGACTTATTGAAAGTCAAAACAATGATAACATAACCATATATATATTCTAGTATATGAATATGAATATGAACCAATTTGCATCAGAATTATTCCACTTCCAAGTTCCACCACCATATTTCATGGTGGCGTACTGGCATTACCTCTCTCTCTCTCTTCTCTTTTCTCTCTCTCTCTCTTTCAATCTGACCACCATTGATGGTCTTTTGGATCCTTCAATTTAATACTCATTAATGCACTATTTTGTTTTCTGATTCTCACCCTCGTATAATAGTATCTCTTCCCCACGTGGTCATGTAAATCTTTGTATTTGTCAAGGGTATTGTCGTCTTTTCCTTCGTCCTCGGATTTATTATGGGGCTACTCATCTTCCATTGCATTCTTTCCAAGCTCCTCCACCAACAAAAACAGACAGTTTTTGTTTAGAGAGAGAAAGTGAGAAGGGAGATACATAGATTAAGGTGGTGCATATATACATAGATAAAGAGAATAAACGTTGCTGTCCATACGGTCGCCGGCGATGGCGGCGGGGTGGGTAAAGTCGTTACAATGCAAAGCAAGGGCTCGAGACGACGTCATCGAAAGCCACCATCTTCATCTTCTTCCGGCATCTTCAAGTTGTAGAAAGAGTTTTCAGAGTCTCAAAGACGTTGTGGAGACTACTAAACAAAAACCAAGAAAGCCGAAACCGTCGCAACCACCGCCAACAGAGCTGCCGTCCAGGAAACCTAAAAACCCCGTTTCAAGAAAACCCGATAATGTTACCCGGGTCCGAAGCAGTAATGTGTCATCCAATCCCCGGCGACACCCACGTCCTCCTGATTCTTATTTTCCGGCATTGACTGACCTGGCGGAGGGACACCCTTCGCGTAACGTGGTGGAGATTATATTCCATACGAGCTGGTCACCTAAGGTTTTTTCCGGTCGGATTGAGATGGTTTTCAAGGTCCAGAATTTGGCAAGAACTGTGACCCGATTCGAGGAGTACAGGGAGTTAGTGAAGTCCGGATCCGGATCAACTGATAATGGTGGCGGAGGCCACAATGGCTTCGGAGAAGACCACGCACGGTGTGTTGCAGATGGGAATGAGGTGATGAGGTTTCAATGCCTGGGAACCACCAGCGGCGGCGCGTATGAAACCGCGGGTGGCGGACCGTGGTCGTTTCAGTGGGGAAAGGGTGCTGCGTTGTGTACGTTTTCCGGGAGCGGAGTCGCGCATGAGCGTGCCGGTGGCGGCAGAGGGCGGAAGGCGATGCTTGTTTGTCGGGTCATAGCGGGTCGGGTCCGAAAGCAGTTAGAGTTTGACTCGGTTTATAATGGACGAGTCGGGTATGACTCAGTGAGTGGGGAAAACGGCGAGTTGCTTGTATTTGATTCTCGTGCGGTGTTGCCTTGTTTTCTTATTATCTATAAATTGTAAAAAATGGTTTTCTACGATTTTGTAGAAATGACAACCAGCCCCTCCGACTTATTAAACTTTACTATATTTTTCATATTTCTAATTTTCTTTTACAATTTTCCTCTTTAAAACCTCATTTATTGTACTCTCTTTAACTTTCACAACATACATTTGAAAATAGTATAATTTAGTTTTTCATAAATCATTTATATTCTTGTTTTCTTAATTATCTATAAATTGTTTTCACGATTTTGTAGAAATGACAACCAGCCCCCCTCCGACTATTAAACTTTACTATATTTTCCATGTACCCTCTTTAATCTTCAAAACTTACAATTGAAAAAACAAATAATACTCCATCGAATATAATTGAGTTTTTCTTTAAATCTTTTGCATTTCTCATATCGAAGTGATAACCTTTAGTATAAAATAGTAACCATTATTACAAAAAAAAAAAAAAAAAAAAGAAGGTCCTTTGATGGTTAATAACACGAAAATTTTGTTAAATTCTACAGGTGAGGCTATAAAAATCAATGATAACATATAAATCCGTACTTTATACACAAGAAATAATACAGTTTTTCATTTATGATGTGAGTACTTTTTCTTTTGTTATAAATGATATAATATTGTGAAAATAAAAGGGTGTTGTATATAAAGAATGAAACCAAAAGAAGAAATGGTCCCTCTAGTGGTCGATACATGAAACACGAACCCCAAAAATTGACCGATCAATGTGCTGGTACAAATGAAATTATGCATGTAACGTCTTTCGACATGTTGCATTTTGGAACAAATTTTGGATATAAAATGATTGTTGGTTTGTATTTTTCCTTCTAAATACGATGTTAAATTTACTATAGATTTTTTTTTTCTGGTCGAAGAATTTTCCTAGTCGATTTTCATCGAATATCTTAAATTTGGAGATCATAAGAATTAGTATTTGATTAAATGATAATTTGAGATGTTTTTATAAAGTTACAAGGAATATTTAATAACACCCTAAATGAGTTTGAATGATATAAACATGTTTTTGGTGAAACTGAAATCAAAAGTTTTGAAGTTGGCTTTTATAAAGTCAAATATTGGGATATGTGAATTGGATGGAAAACTCGCCATATATTTAAGTAGAAAAATGCATTATTTGAACATACACGAAAACCTTTTAAGTCTAACATACTTGGACATGTGATATAAGTCTTTGTAAGTCGATAATTTAATTCAACCCAGAATGAAGGTCGAATATGTACATTGAAACTCAACAAAAGGGGATTGCTTCATGTTAAGTATTTTTTTAGCATGTAAAATATTGTTCACATGTTTTGTTAGATTAATGATATAGATGTGCATATGACCATGATTCCCAGCAAGTCATTTGGCTTACCTAAAATAGATGTATATAGTTTAAGTAAAATGAAAATGATGTATAATAATATCATAAAGAGGATAACAACAAATGAGTTACTAATACTATGCTATAAAAGAAATGTCATTTGTCTCTAAATTGATGATGATTTTATGACGTAAACTTGTTGAATAATAGAAAGATGTTACTGCAAGTAGAGAGTAAGATAAAATACGTGGAATTACGTACGTTCATAATATTTTAAATTCATGAGATAATATCAATAAAATGGGTAAAAATCCTATGATGAAAATACGATATATTCCTATTCTAATAAAAGAATAGGTTTAATCTCCTATTGACAAGTGGCATACAATTAATTCTTCATTTTAAATTTTCTCAATCTAATTATATTAAATTAATAACATTAAATTGAAAAATAAAATAAAATTAATACAGGTTAGAAGATGATATAACTTCATGTATTTATTTAAATCAACGCTTATAATTTTATATAACTAAAATAATATCTCTTAAGTAATAATTTATTTAAAATAATTGATTAATAATTTTAATTTTTTAATACGACAGTTTAATTATTTTTATAACTGTGGTTCTCACGGGTTATACACTAGTATATATATATATATATATATATATATATATATAATATATATATATATATATATATATATATATATATATACTAGTCGTTTACCCGTCCCAAGCGACGGGTGCAAATAATTTTTTTCAGAAATTAAATTCTAAAAGCGATTGGTTCTTTTGTGCAAATAATTTACTACACCAAATAAATAGTGTGTGTTAAGAACTCGATTCAAGACAATCTTAAAACTATCAGTCTATCATACTCAACGTACCATCATAATGCGTCGAATAGTGGTAAAGGGGAGGGAGGGGAGAAGGGGAAGGTAAATAGTTACGCTTCAATGATAAATTTTCTTTCATCGTTTATTTGTATTTTACAGATATGTTTCTTTTATAACTAAGTTTTCTCGGGTAACTCAAACTTAACATTTGATATATATTTTCATATTTTTTACACTATTTTTATTTTAACCGTCTTAATAAAAGAAGTTTGAAATTTAATAATTATTATTACTATATTGTTGAATAATGTTTTTGTATGTGACCATCATTGAAATAAGACGAACTGTTTTGATACTATCTAACAAATATTATCAGTTATTTCAGGATAAATCAATGCGTAATCAAAACGGCATATACGAAAACACGTGAATGACAAAAACGCAAAGACGTAAATTCACAACTCGACAAGTCTCAAACCGCATGAAGATAAGAATCTCAAGACTCAAGTCATGCAACTCAAACCACTTGCAAAACCGAATACAAGATCAAAAACGAATCAAACCAAAGCAAGATGATTCACGAACCCGACTCGACTCGCATACCAAACCGCATGTATCAAATCCAAATTTAGAACCAAATCATTCAGGTCCCGCGACCGACCCGCGGATATCATGGATCAAATCCAAAATTCAGAACCGAACCATTCAGGTCCCGCGACCAGCCCGCGGCCCGCATGACAAACCGCACAAAACTGATCAGGTCCAGCTACTGACCCGCGGCCCGAGCCCATACCCGCGTAGATCGAATTTTTACTTCAGTTATTCAGATCGCAAGAAGCAGCCATGCACGCGACCGACCCGCAGCCCGCGCCCACACCCGCGTAAGACTCATCCATGCAAGAAATACCCACGAATATATATTATATATATGTATATTGTGTGTATATGTATATATATATATATATATATATATATATATATATATATATATATATATATATACATGTATCGTATATATATACATATGAAGGAAGAAACAAGAAAACACAAAAGCAAAAGTCTCCATCACATGTGTTTCTTCTTTCTTTCTAAACTCACAGCTTCATCATCACTTCCAGCATACATACCACCTAGAAATTACTTTTGAATATATATACATGCACATGCATCGTGTATATGTGTGTGTGCTGTGAGGAAAGAAAGCAAAGACAACACAAAAGAAGAAAACCCACATCTCTCATCCTTTCCAGCTTTCAACCAACTTTTCCATTACTTTTCTTTAAACTATGAATGGTTGCTAGCTTCATTTCTGCATAAATACATGCATGTACGTGAGTAAGAAATAGTGAGTGAATTGTAAGAGTTTAAGTGTTGTGTATTAGCTTGTAATATCTCCAGCAAACATTCTCATTTCCAGAAGAAGAAAGCCAAAGCCAAGACCAACAAGCTTCAAGAACAACCTCTTCTTCAAGAAAAACTTCAAGAACACAAACACTATTCATCATCTTCCTCACATTCAACCCATCAAACAAAGCCTACACCACCTTTGTTTACTACACCAATCACCACCAAACATCTCTCTCACATCAAACTACCATAACCCAACCACAAAACAACCCTAAACAAGATGAAGAAATTCTAATATGTGCATGAAAACTTCAAGAACACGACCCTTGCTAAGCAACCCATAAACCTACACGACCCGTGTAAACACCAAACCCAGAAATCCTCTAAACCTTGAAAACGCCCATTGTTGAGTCCAAGTCAAATATCTACACGACCCGTGTTCAACCTCTGCCCAAAAATACCAACTTTCAAAACAACCAATACCAACTTCCAAAACAACCAATACCAACACCCAAAACAACCAATACCGACTTTCAAAACAACCAATACCAACACCCAAAACAACCAATACGAACCTCCAAACAACCAGAAATATCTTAAATACAATTACATAAACCCGTGTATTTTGTAATACTGTATAAATAACTGTGTAACAAAACATTGAATAAACTTATTGTTACATATCAAGTACCGGATTGAACATTGAACAAATAGAGACACAGTCTATTAGGATCCAGTCCAACCCTAAGCCTGTTAGTCATTTATTTGACTAACAACTTGACAAAACAGTCGTTCCACAAGTCCCGTTCTAACACCACCTACTATATATATATTTATATATTTTATTAACGCTTTATGTCATTTAAATACTGTCATTTATTTCATTTATAGCTTTCAGTCATTTATAGCTTTCCAGTATTTATTTATTCCGCACTTCTTATCTTTCCGCATCTAATCTCATTAAATATATATATCTGTCACCCAGTAACTGGTAACTGAGCCTTTTATTCGTGGTAATCAGATATTAATATATTTATAACAATTGGTATCAGAGCTTGTGTGATTTACTTTGAAATTTTTGTCGAAAACCTTTGGTTAGCGTTTTTTTTTAAACCTTCCATTAGCGTTTCTTTAAAATTTTCATTTTAATATCACTTGTTCAAAATCCTTTAAAAAAAAAAAATTATTATGTCTTCTGCTAATTACTCCAACATGAACTCTGTTTCTATTGCTAACAGCTTGGGATCTGGTTCACGGGCACCCATACTTATTCCTGAAGAGTATAATTCGTGGGTTGGCCGTATGAATCTTCATCTCAACTCCATAAATGAAAATGTCTGGAATTGTGTAGAAGGAACATATGTTACTCCAGAAAATATGGCTACTCTTGCTACAAATCAAGCCACTCTTGCTGAAACCGAAAAAAAGCTGCAACTCCAAGCCAAAAAGGAACTTGTGTTTGGAATTCCCCACAGTATTCTAAGTCAAATGGATGACATAAT